TACCCACACGGTACAGCAGCACAACATGCTATATGTATCTAACGTATTAAAATGCTGTATGGATACTAAATCCTGGCCTAAAGCACTCTTGACCACATGCAACACCAGGAGTCAGTCCCATTTATGGCTATGATGAACAAACAATATAATGTAGCCTGGAAACATTCCCCTTACTTGGCAAATCTGCAATCACTTCCCAAGTTCCCTTAGCCTGGACATGAAGCTCTCTACACACCTTGGATCCTAAAACATCACATAGTGTTATGGATAGCTAGGCTCTGTACTTCCAGTCCTCTGGTTGCAGTTAGACAGACATTGATGAGGAAAAGTGAACATGCACTTAGAAACGTGAGATGTATTTACATTGAAGTGTCACTGTGCTATTTATGTTCCCCTCAAAGGATGTCTTCTTCCTTTCCCTCCCACTAGCTCCCAGAGCAGCCCTGGGGTGTGCAGTTGGGGTGGAGGGAGTCTGCCATATAGTAGGACCCATTGGCCTTGGAATTTTGGTTTGGTGAGCCAGGGGTGTTTGTATCTAGTGGGCCCAGTCATGCTGAGTGTGTCCTGCCCAGAGACAGGGCCACAATCCTCAGCTTGAACTCCAACAGGAGGGTGGCAGGCAAAGTTTCTCCTGACTTCCACGACATGGGTCAGCGCACAGTTATTGGCATGGCAACGTAATTCGCAGAATTGGCTTCCAGTCTAGTTACACCCAGACCTCAGGGCTACACACCAAAGAAAACATAATTCGTGAGAATGCTGGCACAGGCAGGTTAGAGGTGGAAGGGCTGGCCACCTTTTGAGTGTCCCAAGAGTAGCCTCCTGGTTGGTGCTCTATGTGGTGACTCCAGTGACTGGATACCTACTGACTATCCTGTCTCCTCATGAAGAAGAGGCATCTAGAGGGAACTCAAGGCTCCTCGACCCCTGTCCCTTTACTGTTGGTGTTGAGGATTGCAGTGTTAGGCAGTGTTAGACAGTGTTAGACTGGATACACGATTGCCTTCTAAATTGGGTGCCGGTGCAGAAATCCCAGGATGCCCCAGCAGTGGCAAATAATTACGTCACTGGCGCATGAAGAAAAGGATGGGCGGTGCGTATGTGGAGGCGAGTTAGAGTGATAGCGCAAGAAAACCCGTTAGACCTTGCGGAGAGAAACCCTCCGTGAAATTCGCCAAAAGTGATTCTGACTTTCAGTAAGATTCAGCCCTACATTTTACTGAAATGTGCAGTAGTTCTGCTTCTTGTGGAATCTAGCTGAATTTTTTCCCAAGAGCTTCACAAGCTTCCTCTCTCCCTGTTGTACATTACACCACTTCCCCACTCCATGGTGTTTGAGAGTTGTCTGATGAGTATGAAATGGATATTTCAGAGAAACAAAATCAACTCCATTTGACCCGCATTGTGGAATTTTGATGACATCCTGGGCCTGTCGCTCCAACATTTAGAATGAATGTGCGATCCTAGCTGCTGGGCTATTGTTACTTATTTATCTTGGGGCCCCGACTGCGAGAAGAGAGAGAAGAATCTGAAACCCAGTTCAACCTGAGGCCATGCATCAAAGGCAAAAGGCAGACGGGTGTTAGTTTACCATATCATCTAATCCCAAACAAATCAGAAATATTGTGGCAAAGTGTTAGGGTACAGCTATCCTTATGACTGACATGTATGAGAAACACATATGAATATTCTCAGTGAATTTAAATAGCACAAGGAGCCTGAATTGTTCAGAAACACCTTCATGCCAGCACAGGCTATTTGTTCAGATCCTCAGTAACGTTGGTGCAACTTCCCAATACTTCTTGCTAAATAAATCTGAATAGTAAATGTTCAATTGACTTGCCGTTGTATTTTCCTCGAACCATCTTCAAATATTAGAGGAGCACCAGTCCACTGCCACATTTCCAAGGCTTGAAGCAATGAACTTCTGGGATGTGTCCTTTCCAACTTTTCAATCAGGCTTCGATGGAGATTTTCTGTCATTTGCCTTTGAGCCATTCTTGCTTAAACTGTAACACAACTCACAAAATTATTCATAGAGATAACAAGGTGTAGAGCTGGATGAACACAGCAGGCCAAGCAGCAACCTGGGCCTGTGCTTCAATTTCCTTTTCAGCATCAATTCCCTTCAGCGTGAACATTTCATTGTTTCTGTACAATAACAGAAATGACAGACATGGGGCTGGGAATAGAGTACAAGAGCAGATAGTCTATCCCCAGCTCTAGAGTCTGGTCCAAGCTATGTGTCCCTAGCTCAGGAACTTAGAGAATTTACCTTGGGCCTCCCCACTTTCCTGTTTAGATTCCTTTCTTTCTCTCGTCTGACTCACTTTTCCTCCTCACATCAGTCTTCAGCTGAGGGAAGACACTGAGTGCAAACCTGCCAGCTTGGCCTGCACATATCTTTCTGCCACCCAAGAAACCAGAAGCCCAATGAAGGTAATATCAGCTTCCTTCTCCAATAAAGAAGTTTACATCATAACATGTACCCTCTCTTCCCGCCATACCATTGTGAATTGGACGATCTATTTACTGAATGGTGTAATGCTTCTGTAGCAAAGTCACATTTGACCACTGATACTTAGTCCACAGACCCCACTCCATTTGATCATGTGGGGTCCCAGTACTTAGGCCAGGAAGTAGCATAGGGCTAGTGGCTTGGGTTGCTTGAATGTGTTGGTGATGGCAAGGTCATGTGATCAAACCTCCAGGCTTACACCCAAAGAAAGTTGGCAATCTGAGTGAAGGTTTTAGCCACGAGCTATTACTAGAGGATTGTTGCTTCTTAAGGTAACTACCCCATCCCAGGTATTAAAGAGAACATTTACTGAACTGTTTCTAACGTGTTTACATCCTTTCTTAAATAAGGAAAACAAAAATGTACATAGTACTGCAGATATAGTCCTACAATGCTTCAATGCTTTATACAACTGTTACAAGACATCCCTATTTTTATATTCCATTCCCTTGCAATAAACAACAACATTCCATTTGCCTTTCTATATCACTTACTGTAACTGCATGCTGACTTATTGTGTTTATGTGCGGGAGACACAGATCCCTCTCCATCTCAGAGGTCTGCAATCTCACTACATTCAATTAGGTGCATAAGGTGCATAAGGAACTAGGACCAGGTGCAGGCAATTCAGTCCCTTGAACCCTCTCCATAGTTTAATATGATCGTAACTGATCACATCTCATCAATTACATCCTTCCTCAAGTAATGGGACCAAAACTGAGCACAGTACCCCAGATATGGTCTCACCAATACCTTGCACAATTGCACCAACACTTCCCTGCTTTTATATTCCATTCCTTTAGCAATAAATTCAAAATTCCATTTGGCCTCCTTATTGCCTGCTCTACCTGCATATTTCTTGTCTGCCATTCATGCACAAGAACACCCAGATCGCTCTATATCAAAGCATTTTGAAGTTTCCCTCCATTTAGATAATAAGTTGCCTTTTAGTCTCCTAACTAAAATGGATAACCTCACACTTATCCACGTTAAACTCCATCAGCTAAATTTAGATCAATTCATGTAACCTATCCATATCAATTTGTAACTTTCTTATTTCTTTATTGGAACTTACTTTCTGAACTATTATAATGCCATCTGCAAATTTGGTCACAGCACCTTCTATCCCTGCTCCGAATGTAGATTGTAAATAGTTGGGGTCCAAAGACTGAACTCTGCAGCAACACAATGGTTATACATTGCCAAGCAGAAAGAGACCCATTTATCCTCACTCTCAGGATATAGGTGCAGATGCTGGAATCTGTACTGAAAACAAGAAATGCTGGAGATCACACCGGGTCAGGCAGCATCCATTGGAGAGAAAGCAAGCTAATGCTTTGGGTCTAGATGACGTTTTATCAGACAAAGAGTCATCTAGACTTGAAACGTTAGCTTGCTTTCTCTCCATGGATGCTGCCTGACCTGCTGTGATCTCCAGCATTTCTTGTTTTCACTATCCTGACTCTCAGCTTTCTGTTGGTTTGTCAATCTGCCATCGAGTTAACAAACTACCTCTAACCATATGTAATCTTACATTGAGCATCAACCTTTCTCACAGCACCAGATCAAGTGCCTTCTGCAGATCCCAGATATACTGCATTCATAGGACTGCCATTAGCCACTTGTTACATCTTCGAAGAACTCTACATTAATCTATGACTCTGTGGTGCTGTAAGTGGTGACTTATAAACTTTTCACTGTACTAATGTGTATGCACATGACAATAAAGTTAATTCTAATTGGAGAAGCTCATTTTACCCTTCATAAAACCATGCTGACTCTGATGGATTGCATTTTAACTTTCTAAATGTCCCATTGCTACTTCCTTACTAATGGATTCCAATAATTTCCCAATGACAGGCATTAAACTAACTGATTTATAATTTCCTACATTCCACCTCCTTTCCTATTTGAATAAGGCTGTCACATTAGCATTTTTCCAATGCACTGGAATCTTTCCCCAATCAAAGGAATTTTGAAATATTATGACCAATGCATCTACTATCTCAGCTGCTACTTCCTTTAAGGCTAAAAGATGTAGGCCATCAGGCCCTGGGGACTTAAACCTGCCAAAATGTATAGGTATTTTTACATTATATTCCTTTTGCCAAATTTTTGCCCATTCACTTAACCTAACCATATCCCGTTGCAGATTCTGTACTTCCTCTTGATAACTTATTCCACTTATTTGAGGTCAGCAGCGATTTAGCCATCATACGATGAAGGCAAGTAAGTGAGGAGAGAGGCAGGAATTCACACAGAACATCTTAAAATGTAATTGTCATTGGCAACTCACTACTTAATCTTTAAAGTATACATTTTATATATTATGTAAATACATATAACATACTGCTTTAATCTATGTTTAATATGTTTACACAAATTGTCTTGTTTAAGAAAATCATCATCAGCATTTCGTAACAGAATGGAACCTAGAAACCTGGAAGAGGAAATTAAATGCCTGTATCTTTTTCTTTTGCAGGGATTAAGGAAGTTAACGTGAAGACAGGTGGGTAGAGAAAAAACACTATCCCAAAAATGGATAGGTCCCTTTATCTCAAGCAAGCTTGCACCATTCCTTGTAGTTGAACTTGCTCTCGTGTACTTAATGGAAAGATGCTGGAGGGGATTTTTTTTTTGGGACAGATATTATTTCATGCCAACAAATGTGTCAAAAGCACTCCTTTCATTTTCCCTGAATGTTGTAACACAGAAAGAGGTTATAATTATAGGAAATCTCCAGTATTACGCCCTATCCTGACTGCTTCCTTTCAGATGGAGCAAACAAAAATTCAGCTCCTTTTTAATTATTTGCCACTTTTTTTTAACTCATCACAATCGAGGACACTGTCTTTTCCTCAGATCTGAGGCTACATGCAAGAAGGAACCATTCTGTTACTTGCCTTTGAAAGTCCAGCACTTCTATATGCTCACTGCAAGCTGACTCTAGCAGAAAGTATAGGACATTTCTTCCTCATCTTTTGCCTGGTCTTTCTGGGAAAAACCTCCGTTTGCTTGTCATCTTCCTGCACCGAACTCATGTACAATATATATAACTACAGGGGATAATGGCGACATGAAGAGAAACTCCTTTATGCAGTGAATGGTTTAGATCTGGAATGCGCTGCTAGGCAGGTTGAATTGAAGCATTCGAATGGGAACCGGATTATTTTCTTGAAAGGAAGAACTAGCTAGGTTAAGGGGTAGAAGTTGGGGAAGTGGTATTAGGTGAGGTGCTTATTCACAGAGCCAGTGCAGGCAAGATGGGCCAAGTGGCCTCCTGAGGGTGAACAATTCTTTGATTCAGTGATGATGATAAGCCATGCATGATCTCTATGTAGCCATCTGTGCTCTTCGTATCAACAGGGTGTTCTTCACGACCAGAAGATAAGCAATGCGCAATCTCCAGAATAGCATCAGCTCGATTTGTTACAGGGAAAGCAGCCTTCGTTTGGCAGTATTCCATGGTGTCCAGGCTGAGTAGACCAGAGAACACCATTGAAGAGGACAGAGCTGTGGTCATAATCCATGGCTGCTGTCCACACTGAATATGGCCGTCATAGCCAAAGTGCTCACTTAACCATCCACACGGCTGATGCATCTTCCACAGCAATGTACTGTTCAGTTGAGGTGTGACTAAACAATGTGGGTAAAGGCTACTGTTTCTGCCTGTAGCCAGCACCCTGATGGAATGAGTATAAATCGATAAGTTCAGCACTCACCTGACGCCTACTGTCAGAATAATTCCTCCACGAACTGGGGTTCAGCTCCAGTGAATACAGCTTCAGAGTGGACAAGGTTGGAGAAACCTTGCATTCAGCAGCTGGGTCATTTTTACAATGATGGTTTTCCTGGCCTCGTGGCTCTTGTTAAAGGCACACTGACCACATGTTGTTGAGTTGTGGAGATGAATCATTGGCCCGCTATAGAGGGGCCAGTCCTTGTCACCCAACAGCCACCCTAAGGCTAGATGTGGTGGTGAGCTTTTATTGGAACGGTGGACTAGGATGAATGAAAACCAGGACAGAGAGCATTCGCCATTGTGCATGAGCACACACCAACTGCCCCTTGAATGAAGGATAACTTTTATGGTGCAAGATCATCTCTCCACAAAACTGCAGTCACTGGCCGGAAGGAAGTCCACTTGGCCCGCTACCGTCTGTTGTGGAAGAGCGTCTGGCACCTCAAAAGAGAACAAATTGGGAAAGTTTACACGGTTAGCTGTTCCAGCCAGCAAGTATCTTGTTGTGTATATATCGAGGACCATAGTCACCATCACCGCTGCTGATAGGTTGTGTCCTTTGATGGCAGCTTCAATGCTGCTTGTCTGGTTCCAGGGCGTCCCCATAATTCTGTGAGCCCTTTCTTCAGTTGTAGATGCACAACGTTCTTAATTTGTCTTATGCGGAAGTAAGAGAAAGGAACAAAAGTAAGAAAGTAATCAGTAAAAACATCGTTCCAAGCTTCGGACACTGTGGGCCATGCTGAGAAAGTTGGGAAAATCAGATGCGATATCCTGTCAGAGCCTTTTCAGTGTCGCGCCCAAGTTTCCAACTAATTGTCGATTGACGAAACCTGATTCCCGAAACCTGATTCCCGCTGAAGAATGGTGAGAAACCAAATTTACTCAGTTAAATCTCAATAGCCTCATTATGACCAAATCTGCCCATATTAACACTCACTTTCTCATTCTCCTACCCACTGGATAGGAACTAGATGGCGAGAAAGCTGACACGCAAATTAGAGTGGTTGCTTGGCAACTCCAGCTTGCCCACTTGTTTGCCTGGGACCTCTGCCTTGGACCCCTGGCACCAACATCTCAAGGCACACTGCTCTGGCAGTGACTCCACGCACCCCATGTCCATGAACATTGGCATCAGACACTTCCCAGCCTCACCTCGCCCTCAAGACATGTCTCCAATCCACTGACAGCACCCTTCTGTATTTAAATGGTGCAGTTTGGAGTGCACTAGCACCGTTCACTAGACTTCTGCGCCAGGATACTGTGCACACAGGACTGAGCAGCCAGGTCGTAGATTGGACCAGGGTTGCTTGCTTCCTTTCTTCAAGTTCACTTGCTTTGTGCACGACATTGCTCACTGTCTTGTCCCCTCTAGCCAGAGCTGCAATGCCCAAAGCACTTTTATTCTGCCTTGCCCTTAGTGCCAGGCACAAAGCCAAACACCTCGATATGGTTGTTGGCAGTCATCACTCAAGGTGGTGGACATGTTACAGTGTAGCATTGTGCTATAAACTTGTATCATGTGCCAGCACATCAGTGTCAATCTCACCCGCCTGTGCTTCAAGCAATTGGCCATGTCTTGATGTTTATGAGGAGTAGTCCATTTTCAGGTCCACAGGGACATCCTTCAGTCAGTGGGCTTCAACACAGTCAGTCTGATATCATTCCAGAGGCTTGGGGATGGTTAGTCAGCCATTCGGGGTGGTCAGGGTCACGGGGTGTGTACTTCCACAGTCCAAGGAGAGGGCCATAGTCAGCCCAGTGGATCCAGTGAAACTAGTCCAGGGAGCGGTGGGAACAGAGCAGTGAGAACTGAGCAGAGATCAGTCAGGGTCCTGGTCACTCATCATTCGGGGCCATCCAGCTAAAGCCATTGAGGGAGCGATCCATGGTCAGTCCTGAGGTGTCCATCCATTCAAACTCAAGGGATGCTGGGAGCTTATCAGAGGCCACTGCTGCAGGGGGGAAGCTGAGGAACTTAATCTTGGGGATTGGAGGTAAAATGCTGTGATGTAGGGGAGATAGCTATTGGGAATGGGGTGGGGGGACGAGTCAATATGTAAGCTGGGTGAGTCAACAGAGCATTGAAGAGTTTGGGATAATGCGAGGAGGTGGGGTCATCAACTCTAAGTCACATCCTGTTTTCCAGGGTGGGTGGGGACATCAGTAGTCTACTTGATCTGTCATCTTAAGTCAATATGCCTGAGGATGGCAAGGGTGGGAGGAGTGTTGGGGGGTGGGGGTTGGTGAAATGGGCAGATGAAGATTCAGGTAGATGGGTTGGGTTGGGATCTGGGCGAGTTCAGAGCCTGTGGGTTGACAGGGAGGACTGCCAAGGAGGGAATGTTTACATTTGGAGACTCACCGAAAAGAAGATGCCAAGCCCAACCCTGTTTAGGGAGCGACTGCTATTTCCTTCCACCGTGCTGTAAATGACAAGTGGAGCAATGAAAATTAAAATGGCTGCAGCCACACACAGAGAGGGCAGGGTAAGTGTTTCATTTGGTGTAGGAGGAGGCTTCAATTTTGAGCAATGCAAAGCACTTCAACGCATTATACACAGACCCCTACGTCAAACCTGCCAGCACTATATACTTTGTGACCCTTAGGCATCAGCGTGCAGCATGTAGTCCAAATCCTCGCCCAACTGCTCCTTGCAAATGAAATAACGTTACAAGGCAATACCACTACTGGTTGTGACACACATGCTCAGTTTGGCTGCCTGGAAAGGTTGACCCTAGATGTCAAAGTAGTGATCACCTACAATGTATCCATAGCCTCCAGAAGGTATAGGAGCTTCTCACTTCACAGACTGAGCCATCAAACATTGTGTCGTGCCAAGGATGGCTAGACTTTGTACCTTCAACGTTGTAGGTGTGGGGAGACAGATATTTGCACACGCAATTGGTGAAGAAATGTGACAATATATAAAAATGAAATAACGTTTTTTTACTGTAATGTGTCTCCTACCTGCCTCAGAAGGTTTACTTTCTTTCCCTCCCACTATGTCAGGTTGCATTCGTAGGTTCCACAGCTTGGATGGAGAGACCCTGCCCTACAGTGGAGCCTATAGGCCTCCGGGTTTTTCAGGTGACCCCAGGGGTGTTTGTGGCTAGAGGGCCAGGCATGCTGGCCAGAGGCAGGGACGCACTCTTCAGCTTGAGCTCCCATCGGGCTGGCGGGGGAGGGTGGTGACAGGCAGAGTGGAGGTGGAAGGCCGATTCCCTCTGCTGGAGTCCTGAGAGAGGAATTCTTGGCGGCCTATGTGTGGTCCTCCCTCAGGCTGACTGCCTACTAGCACCACCAGGAGATAACTCAAGGTCCTTCTTTCTCCCCACCTTGTTGTTGCAGCTGAACATCGATGGCCGGAGTGATGGAGAGCTGGAGCGTATGTACGTCAAACAGCTTCTGAGACTGTTATGCCTGGCCCTCCATGGCAGCTACCAGCCTGTCCACGAAGGCAGCCAGGTGATTGCACTGGGAGGTGGCAGTGTGCCAACAGCATTGCCACAGCCCTGCAACCTTTACAGCAGGTTGGCCAATGTCAGAGAGTCATAGAGTTATGCAACATGGAAACAGACCCCTTGGTCCAACTAGACTACACTACAGAGTTCCCGAAACAAACTGGTCCCACTTGCCTACTTTTGGCCCATGCCCCTCCAAACCTTTCCTATTCATGTACTTATTCAAATTTTTTTTAAATATTGTAACTGGATCTGCATCCATCACTTCCTCTGGCATTTTATGCCACACACGAACCGGTCTCTGTGTAAAAAAGTTGCCCCTCATGTCCTTTTTTAATTCTTTCTACTCTCACCTTAAAAATATGCCTCCTAGTTTTGAACTCCCCCATCTCAGGGAAAAGACCTTTGCTATTTACTATATTTATGCCCCACATGATCCTTTAAACCTCAATAATGTCACCCCTCAACCTCCTATGCTCCAGTGAAAAAAGTCCCAGCTTCCAGCTTATCTATTATTCAAACCTTCCATTCCCAGCAAAATCCTGGTAAGTCCTTTCTGAACTCTGTCCAATTTAATAACATTCTGCCTATAGCAGGGCAACCAGAAATGCACACAGTACTCTGGAAGAAGCTTCACCAATGTCCTATACAACTGCAACATGAAGTCGCAACTCCTATAGTCAAAGATCTGAGCAATGAAGGCAAGCATGCTAAATACTTTCTTAACCACCCTGTCTACGCATGTGACACAAACTTAAAATAATTTTGTACCAGAACCCCTAGATCTCTCTGTTCTACAGCACTACCCAGGGCCCAACTTATAATTGTACAAGTCCTGCCTTTGTTGTTTTACCAAAATGCAATACCTCGTATTTATCCAAATTAAACTCCATCTGCCACTCTTCAGCTCATTGACCCAATTGATCAAGGTCTTTTTGTAACCTTAGATAACTTTCTTCACTGTCCACTATAGGTTCAGTTTTGGTGTCATCTGCAAACTTCCTAACCATGCCTCCTATATTCCATCTAAATCATTTATATAAGTGACAAACAAAAGTGGACCCAGTACTAATCCTGTGGAATACTTACTGGTCACAGTCCTCCAGTCTGAAAATCAACCCTCACCGCCACCTTCTGTCTTCTACTGTCAAGCCCATTTTGTATCCAATTACTGCAGTCGTGAAGTCAGTGTGCAGCTTTTTATTTAAAGGAGATCCAAATCAATAAGATATCACATGTAAGTTGTGTCCTCATGATGTAACATCATACATGAAAGTGAATCTCTACATCGTCGAACTGGTTATATTTGGAGGAAGGCTTCTGTATAAAGATTAATGAGACATGTGTGGTGCTTGAAACCATTTTTCTCGATCAATTATGTCTTTGCGCAGGTTGCAATGTTACCAAAGCTTCCTGCTGTCAGTGTCTTGTCCACGCCTACATGTCCTCAGTCACCAGTCTCTTCCCTCCATTTCTGTGGCAGCACTTTAAAGGAAGGCAATTCCAAGTCATACACAGGAAATTGAGCAGGCATTCCTGAGTTGAATGAATGAAACAGGATTTCCTATTCTTGGCGGAAAGATCCCAGCAGTACAAATTGAAAGGATTTATAATTTCACATTCTCGAAATGAACAGAATGCTCGTCGTAACCGTAGCCGTCAGTTTTAAATGTTATCCATGCCTTCCATACAGACAATGTTCCAAGGTGATTTGAAGAGGTACTGGGGGAAACTTAGAATAGAGGCACTGACAGACTTGTTCACTCGGATGATCAAAAGCTGGAGATCTATTCGAAAGAGATTCTTAAAAGCGAGAAACAGACAAAGAGATTTAAAAAGGGAATTTCTTGAGTGAAAGAAAAATGAAATCCCTTATTTACTTATCAATGCTGAGAAAAAAAATTGCAATATCAAACACACAGACACACACATGTGCGCACACAGGAGTGCACACACAGGCAGGCGCACACAGACACACACACACACACACACACACACACACACAGACACACACACAGGCACATACACACACACAGAGGCACATACACACACACACACATACAAGCACACATACACACATGCATGCGCACACACTCACAGGCACATACACACACACACACATACTGGCACACATACACACATGCACGCACACACACTCACAGGCACATACACACACACGCACACACACCTTTGATGAAAACTCATCTAGAATCAAAATGTTAGCTTGCTCTCTCACCATGGATCCTGCCTGACCCATTGTGATTTCGAACATCTTTTGTTTTCAGAACAGATTCCAAATATGCATTTTATCACTGAATGCAGGTGGCTGAATGACTTCAATGTTTGGATCCAAGGAAGGGCATAACTAGAATCCAGACTCAGTGCAATAGAGACTCCAGGCCAGGCAGCTGCTGCAATGGAGAAGGAAAAGGCAAGAAAGGATTTCATCATAACCATGTGACTGTGATGATGTTGACAATAACAACACATTGCACTTACGTAGAGACTTGTGTATGATGAAACTGTTTTGTGCGAGAATTGGCAAACAACACCTGACACCTATCAGAATAGTGATACATTAACTTTTGACTTCCATCATGTGATTTCATTATTCAAGACCTTTTGTGGGCTAAAATTGTTTTAAAAAGGGAAAACACTGAATTATGACGGATGCATTTGACCCGGTTGATCTAAGCTCATGAAACTATTAATAAATAAGCTGAAATTAACATGATTGCAAAAAGGCATTGTAACTCAAATCTGTATCCCCTGTTTGATTCACAATTTTCTATAATGCTTGCATATTGGGATGAAAGTTGCTCGCAGATGATCTGGATTGAAAGAATTATGAAGTCAGATGCTGGAATATGCAGATGAACTATATTTCAGACAACAGTTTTTGGGTCTAAACAGAAGAAGAGAAATAAAATGGATGTGCAATAGCAGATCTGGAAGAATTGCTTTCTTCTTCCTTTTGTTTCTGTCAGCACCTCAGAAGGTAACACCCAAAGAACAGCAAGTCAGCGAAACATCCATTCACTGAGAACTCACAAATATCTGCAAGCTTCACCACTGCTGAGGATACAAGTCAATCAGTAAACAACCATGGTCTCAGGTTAAAATCTAACACCTCAAAGCCTCTAAAGACTTCTTAAAACTGCCCATTCTTGATCTTTCCTTTAGTACTGGACCATTTTGACTTTATACCCATGTGTTTGCACGTGTTTGTTGTCACATTTATTAATTTTCATGTTGTTAGTAAGTAAATAATAAAGTTTGTCATTAAGAAAAACTTTTAATTCACTCCTTAATTTTGATTGGTTTATCATTTTAACTAATGTAGGATTTGGCTACGTATTCAGAACCATTAAAATGTTTTTTTGAGGGTGAGTGAGGAGGGCTTTCAAAAAAAAGATCACTCCTCCTCATCTGGACATAACAAGTCGAGTATAACAAGTGAGCTAACTTCAGTTAAGGAGTTAAGTTTTATCACTTTAAAGGAGGAAGGAGAAGGATGATTTCCTGCATAAGAAGGCTCTAGAAGTGTCAAATTAACCTGGTCTATGTGTATCTCCTCAGTGATAGGAAAACAGATGGCAGTGAGTCATAAGGCAGCAATTTAAATTGGTTTTCCTGCAGTCCATCAGAAATCCACAGAATGAAATGCAAACTGTTTACAAATGTGCAGATTAGCAGCAGGGCACAAACCACCCTCAGCTCACTGCCATTGTAGAGGGAGAACACTACCCACCAGTGAATTTAAGACCTTCTATAACTGAGCGAAAACGCAGCGAATGGAGGAAATCTGATGGAAACATAGTTAATTCATTTGTGAATTTCCTTCTTTTTAATAACTTAGTAATCTTAAGAATGGAAAATCTGTTCGGTTCTTTGTTTTGTTGACTTTATGCTGGAGTTACCCCAAAGTGTCCCCTTCCCATTAAATCAAAAGAAACAGAGAATGCTGTTTGTTAGCAGGGATTGCTGCGAGACTCACACAGTGCCCGAGCACTATTAGCTGCCCACTTTCCTCCCAATGGTGATATTATTGAAACCAGCAGCAGGGAGAATCGTTCTTTCAGTTTTTAAGACTGCTGCTTGTGCAGTCAGAGTCGCCTTTAAATCTTTTCACACGGCCTGTCCCCATCTGCCCCTGTGCTGGATCTGATTTTTTACGTGACTTTTATTGACTGCAATCACTTTCTCTTATTGCAATGTAATGCAACTTCCTCACTATAATGACAGTGGAAGGATATCATTGGAACAGGAGGATGTCACTGATCCCTCAAGCCTCTTCCCCCTTATTTCAGGTCATTGCTGGAATTCAAAGCAGCTATTTCAACAACAACGTCTGTTTGTTCAGCACCTTTAAATTTCCCAAAGAACTTCATAAAAGTGTAATCAGGTAACAATAACTCACCCTTAGATACATAGACGTTGTTCCCACTTATGGAGGAGCATAGGATTAGGGGGCATATTCTCAGAATAAGGAAGTAACAGATTTAAGACAGAAGAGTAAGAATTTCTTCTCTCGGAGGGTAGTGAATCTGTAGAACCCTTTTGTTGCAGACGTCTGCATCATTAAGTAAACTTGAGGCTGACGTAGGTTTTGATCGGTAAGGGAAATGAGGGGTTAAGGGAAAAAGACAGTAAAGTGGAGTTGAGGATTATCAGGTCAGCTATGATCTCGTTGAACAACAGAGCAGACTCGATGAGCTAAATTACCTACTTCTGCTCCTATGGTCTTATGGTAATACTTAGTCATATTCGGGTGATAAACTTGTTAATGGTGGGTCAAAGCTGGGTCTTAAAGGAGGAAAGAGAGGCAGAGAGGTTTAGGAAAGATATTCAGAGCTTGGGACCTCTACAGTTGAAGGCATAGTCACTGAGGGTGGACTGCTGCACTATAAGGGTGCTCAAAAAATCAGAATTTTGCAGACATTTTGGATGGTTGTAGGGTTATGGGCAGAAATAGCAGGAAAGTGAAAGAATCACCAAACCAGTACACTCTATGGAATGGGCAGCAATGGTCATACCAGTTGTGGAGCCCAACAGGTCAGTTGGCTTTTGTGAGGATTTCAAACAAATGGTAAATACTAAATCTCTTGCACAGAGGATTTATATGCAAAACTAGCTGGGGGGAGGGGGCACTGTCCTTCACAAAGCTAGACATGAGCCACTGCAATGAAATGAGGATTCCCAGAAGTATGATACATTTAATACCCATAAGGGTTTGTACCAATACAGGAGACTGCCTTTTGGAGCTTGTGTCATTTTCCAGTGGACAATGGTGAACATTTTACAAGGTCTACCGCAGACTTGTATTTATCTGGATGACGTGCTAGTAACCGGGAAGACCGATAAAGAGCATCTACAGAACTTAGATGTAGCGCTTAAACATTTCTCCAAGGTGGGTGTATGCCTTAGGAGTGAAAAAAATGTGTGTGACTTAGTAATGACTTACTTGGGCTACAGAGTCACTAAGACCAGGTTACACCCGTTGGAAGGTAAAGTCTGTACTGGAGTTTTGGTCTTTCCTTGGTTTGGTGAATTGTTACGGAAAATTTATACATAACTTGGCTTCCATCCTGGCACCCTTACATCTGCTATGGAGAAAGGGTCAGCCTTGGAAATGGTCTCACTAGCCAAGAAGTAGCCTTTAGGCAAATGAAGAAGCAGCTAATGTTGTCCAAGGTGTTGGCACACTATGATCCCAAGTGAGATGTGGTGTTGATATACAATGCCTCCCCATAAGGTACCAGGGTAGCATTGGCTCACCAGTGGCCCAGCGGAGAGAAATGCCCGATAGTGTATACTTCCTGGACTTCGGCTGATGCTGAACAAAAATAAGCTGAGATAGAGAAGGAAGGCTTGGCGGTCATCTTTGGCGTGAGAAAGTTCTACCAGCATCTTTATGGACATAAATTTGTCATAGTAACGGACCACAAACCCCTGCTCGGGCTATTTAAAGAGAACAGGGCCACGTCACCCATGGCTTCAGGTCGAATTCAGCGGCGGGCTCTTATTCTGAGTGCGCAAAATTACAGGTTGGAACACTGTCCGGGAGGCCAAGTGGTAAATGCGGATGCCTTGAGCCACCTCCCATTGGCAGATACACCACCGTCGTGCTGCCACTAGAAGAATCCATTCTGATTTTAAACATGCTGAATGCCCTTCCTGTCACTAGTGACAATATCAATTTGTGGATACAAAAAGATCCTATCCTGGCAAAACTAAAACAGCTGGTAGTGAGGGTGGTGGGGGGCCGGAGGGGGTGGTTCCAAAGGGCTGTCACACCCAGAACTGAATCCTTTTTGGACCTGGAGGGACCAGATCACAGTAGAGCATGCCATATTACAATGGGAAGCAAGAGTGATTGTCCCAAGCAAAGGTCGCTGCCAGATTAGGGGATGAACTCCACCAGGGTCATCCAGGGGTTTCCTAAATGGAGATGTTGACCAGAAGTCATGTCTGGTGTCCAGGAATGGGTGCAGACATAGCCACATTGGTGGGGCAATGCCCAGAGTGCCAACAATGGCAAAAATTACCGCCAACATCTCTCCTACATTCCTGGGAATGGTCGGGTAAACCCTGGGCTTGGTTACACGTTGACTATGCCAGTCCTTTCATGGGCTCAATGTTCTTAGTCATTGTGGACGCCCGCTCAATGTGGTTGGATGTGCATAGTGTTCATTCGTCAAACACAGGGAACAATGATTGAAAAGCTGCGAGCACCTTTTGCAATAGAGGTGCTGGTCACAGACAATGGGTGATCATTTACCAGCAGGGAATTTGAGTATTTCCTAAAGTCGAATGGCATTCGACGTGTAAGGACAGCTCCATACCATCCGTCACCCAATAGTCTGGTGGAAAGAACTTTGAAGGCAGGCTTAAACAAACAGTCTATAGCTTCATTCAATGTGAAACTGTCCCTGTTCCTGTTCTATTATAGGGCCACTACTCACGCAACTACAAGGATAGCTCCAGCAGAATTGCTAATGGGGAGAAGACTCCACACCTGGTTAAACCTGATTTTCCTGGACCTGAGGTGGAGGGGCGGTGGAGTGTGAAATGGCATCAGGAAGGCCAATGCCGGACACAAGACTCCCCTAAGTGAGAGAGATAGTCTACTTCAGGGGACGAAGTTTGCTGTCAGAACCATGGGAATAGCCCTGCATGGGTCAGAGACATGGTCGACAAGAGGTCAGGTCCCATGAAGTACAGTACAAAGTTCGGGTCGGCGAGGTGGTCCTGAACAAGCACGTGGGCCACATGAAAGCTCTAACCTCACAAGCAGGACAGGGGCGAAACACAGCCGGCACACCCCCCACCGCCCCCAGACATCCGACATGACCATCAGAACTCGTGGGATCTTCCCCTCCGCCCAGCATCGAAGAAACCTCAGAGGCAGATGTAGCAGCCTTGACGCTGTTACCACCCGATGAAGATAAACTTCTTCTGACACTCAGGCACAAGGGGTGGGCTATAATCCAGTATAAGCCTCCACTATCCAAGACAGGGTCCTAGGAACCAGACCTGATGCAAAATACCACCTCCCCCCCTCCCGCTGGTCCAGGTCAAGCTACAGGATAAATAACAAGCCTACCTCGCAGGACTTAGAGGGGAAGGGTATAGTGATTATAACGAGGTATTCCATGTGGATCTCATAGAATAGAAGCTCCCTGATTGGGGCTGTTAATCTGGTCCAATCAGGGAGTCCTGGCTGAC